CAGGGGGTTAAGGGGGGGGTATGAGGGTGTTAGGGGGAGGTATGGGGGTGTTGGAGGTGTGTATGGGGGTGTTGGGGGGGGCTATGGGGGTGTGGATGGGGTTATTTAGGGTTCTGGACCATTTTTTTTTTTTTTTTTTTGCGGGGTGCCTACCGATCGCCGACCGGTCGGCGCCTACCGTCGGCTGGTCGGCAGCCGACGGGTCTAGGGCCGCGTACCGTAGGCGTGACTACCCTGCCTTGGAAGTCAAAACCCCTTTCAACCCCCTTTAAAACCCATGTATACCTTCCTCCCCGCCCTTTCAAACCCATGTATACTACCTCTACAAGGCACTCTGCCCGTGGAACATTCAAATAGAACGCCTGGGCGTTCTGGTGTTATATTCGAAGGGGCGTTCTATTTGAGAAGAACAGAGTAAAAACGAAAATCCAATCTTTTTAGGCTAAGCTGAATATAGTGCCCGGGTGTTATTTTCGGGTGAAGACGGTAGTGGGACAGAGAGGTTCTTCTGCAGCAGTGCAGCGTTGGAATACTCACCTGGGTGCCATAGCTTGGGACTGCTACCAGCCTATGGCCGTCCGTCGCGCTGCGGCCTGCATGAGCTCAAGACATCAATTTTCACTGGTCAGTATCTGATGACATGAGAGAGAGAGAGAGAGAGAGAGAGAGAGAGAGAGAGAGAGAGAGAGAGAGAGAGAGAGAGAGAGAGAGAGAGAGAGAGAGAGAGAAGGATACTTCTTCTTCTCCTCACCACCCTCCGTATCCTCCTCCTCCATCCTACTTCTAGAGAGAGTGAGGGATCATTGGCTACTATTTGGGGAGGTTTTTGGCCCCAGGTTTGGACCTGAAATTCTGACTGGTGACGACTATGGGATTGGAGGGACTCCGAGAGAGGCTATCATTATTCAGGTGTTGCATTGAGTTGCGCTCTCTTCTTCTTCTTCGTCTTCTTCCCACATTTGTCTCCTCTCCCCACTTCCATCATCCGTGGTTCTTCTCCCCATGTCTGTTCAGTCAAGGACGGATCTTTCGTCTATGGATGTCCCTCCTTGCGTCTCAACGTGTGTGATGATGTTTGTGTGTGTTGTTGAGTCATGAGTTTCATGAGTCAGATTGCTATCTTTCAGTCTTCCGCTGCTTTGCATTGTTGTTTCTCCTCACTTTGGTGATCTGCACCATGCCTAGATGCTCATAGGCATATGACCCTCCCCTCCCAACCTGCCACCCCTCTCCCCTCCC